CCCCAAAACCCCAAAACCCCAAAACCCCAAAACCCCTTAATTAAATCTAAATATTGTTTTGTATATATTTATTAAATTTCAAACAGTGATAATTTTAATGGTCAATACAAGAAATCGGAAGATAAAGGTAATAGCTATTAGCAAACCTTCCTCTACTTCAAGAAAGTCGAAAGCAAAGACCAGTGCTAGAAAAAAGAGCAAGAAACCTAAGAAAAGAGAACAGAAGGCCTCCTGGAAGAAATCCCAAGGTAATTTAGTTAGAGCTGATTCTGGAAACAATGTTAATTAGAGGAATTTCAAATTTTTTATGCGCTAAACATACTCCTTTGCTCATATTTAGTAGCACTAATTGTTGAGCATGACCTAATCTTTGTTTAGACACAAATTTTCATGCGAAGATTGCTGAAGAAATGCCTTCTTCTGGAGTAACTACTAGAAACAAGAGTAAATCGCAAGTTAAGGTGGCTCCTTCCGACACTAATATCTCCTCAAACCATGAGACTGCCAATCAGGAGGAGATTAAGGACTTTACAGAATCGCATGAAAAGTTATAATGATAACCTCTAGTAAAACTTCTAAAATTTCCCGGAAAACTAGCAATCGTAAAAAGTGTAAAGTGGAAGAGTAAGTTTTCCCTCCTTGCTCTAAATTGTCCAATTTTTCGAAATTTTAAATTATAGATCGCAGGCATCAAAAATACCAAGCTCTAGATCTGGTAAGAAATTGGGGAACCGGAACTTCAAAAGCTCCGCTAAACAAACCGTGAAGCGACAGAAGTGAAATCAGGAATCTAAGAAGCCGAATAAGCCGAATAAGCTTGCAAAAAATTCCAAAAATAGGAAGATTCCTAAAAAAACAAGAAAAAGTAATATTTATGATGAAACATTCATAATAGGGGAGATTGAGGATTCTGATATGGTCCAAAGGTTTTCTCCAGTAAAAACACGTAGGAATACCAAAAAGACCACTCAGCCCCCAAGAAGTAAGCAGCCGCACAGAGTTGTGCCCGAGCCTAACCACTCTACAAGTATGTATCTTAAAAGTTACCTGAATCATGGTGTATAGAGATTAAGGCATGAAGAAAATTGCAGTTTGATAACTGAACCTCTCAGAGTAAATCCAATATTTCTGAGTAAGCCAGCCTCGCGGAGTTATCTCTTCCTAACACAATTCACTAGGAAATTTTGTGATATATTTTAAAGCCCTAATTTCTTAATTCATTAATAATTCTTTAGAGATAGAAGGCACAGCAGAAGGGGAACGAGGTCAAGAGCCTGCTCGAGGAAAAGCAGCCGCCTTCCCTCAGCTCATAGAGAGAAGAAATACCAGTCCTGTAAGTTTGGGATATTATAAGTTTAGTGAAAGGCACTCCATGAAAATCAACCAGAAAAGCTAAGCGAGGGAATAGAGTACAAAAATAACTCACGCCTGTCTTCAATTGGCGAATCGGAAATAAGCGGAGGAAATGATTTTGACATTGAAATTTCTGAAGCAGAGATGGGTCTAAGTATGGTGGATAGTAAGTAAATATATCTAAAACTTAATCTGAAAGCGACGGAATTAAGAAAGAAATCAGTTGGAGGTTTATTGATACTTACATGAATCTTAAAACCTCTCATTACATTCTTAGCTAAATCTGATTGTTGCTTAATCTCTTCTTGTGATTATTTTTAGATTTTTGATGAAAATTGTTATCATTCTTAAATATCTCAAATTTTATTACTAGGCCAGAAGCATAATCTGATTTAATATTTCTGAGAATGAGATTAGAGGTATTTTCATCAGTCATCAATAGACGTGATGTCGGATAAATCTGAATTTGAAAAATATTGGAAGCAAATTAAAAGAGATAACCATAATGGTTACATCAAGCTAGAATCACTGGTCAGTGAGAGTCTACTTTTATCCAACAAAATCTCTCAAAGTGTAAGACTTACATTGGATAAAGCTTCATCAGAAAGCAAGACCCTTCCAGCTCCGAACTGGGCATTCTGTATTCTAGTCCAATCTGGGCAGGTTCTGGGCTCACAATCTTATTTTAGTAGCTTATTTCGGACTTTACCAATGCTTTTATAGGAGAACAGTCTGAGACGGAGAAGTAATGTGCAATCAGAAATACATCCAAAGGTCAGTAAAATTTGTCAGCATTTAGTCCGAAGAAATCCAAGAGCATAATAAAAGAGATATAAAAGATTCCCAGTATTCCGAGATAGATGATATGTCCTCCAGTCAATGTAATATAGAGGAGCTTCAATCGCTTGATGCTGTCCTTAAAGATCACCCTTCAGTTGGAAGCTCAAAACAAAGGCCAAGAAAATATTTCCGAAATCAGGAGATGAAGAGTAGTTCAATTAGAAGCTGGAGAAAATCATCAAATTCAATCTCAAGTGCTTCCCCTATTAAACATAATAAGAAGGAATTAGAGATTGTACAGAGACCGATAAAGCTAGTCGAGTTAAGTTCATTAAGAAATGACAAAAATTCTTCCATGAATGGGCTAAATTCCTTAATTGATGAGCCACACTCATCCAGGAATTGAGAGAACCATGTAAAAGATGAAAGCATGAGTAATTACAGCTATGACAATCAGGACTGTCAAGAAATCGTAGAAGAGCTGATCAAAAAGACAGGAGTAAAGCAATCTTCACTGAAAAGGTTAGAGCCTGGTGAAGACATTGATGACCTTATAATCAACTTCTACATTGAATATCTTTGATGGTACCATCAAAACAACAAGAAGTTTACGGAGAATGTTAGTGTAATGAATACCTATTTTTACTCAACTTTACTGGCCAAGGATAAGTTCAATGCTTTTGCAAATCTGACTAAGAAGCAAAACGAAAAATTGAGGAAGCCGATCGTGATATTTCCCATACATTTTAAAAACGATAAATTCAAGCATTGGGCTGTAGCTTGAATGGTCAGAGATGTCGACATCGGAGATGGATACAACCAGGCTCTCCTCTTTTTGGATTCCTATGAGCCTGGGCTTAGCAAAGATGACAAGCAGCAGATATTTTTCAAACTAAAGTAAGTTCTTGTCCTTATCTCTCTTCATAGATTCGTAGGTGACCAGAGTAGAATGGTGTTCAGAGAAGTCAAGGTCCCACAACAGCAAAATGGAAATGATTGAGGCCTTTTCATGCTAAGGAGTATCCGGTCGATCATTGAAAAGCCAGAAATTACTAAGAAAGCAGCCTTGGATCAGAATATGACCAAAGAGCTTGAAAAGTGAAAGTTGAGTAGGAATGACCTTCTCAACCTTATCACGATCAATGGCCCTTTAGATGACTAAACTCTTGTGGTTTAAGTAACAATCTAAATAATCATTTTCTAAATAGTATAAGTTACGTTGTGAGTGTGTATATGGGAAAAGGCTAGTTTGAGGCTACAGATCTTTACTATAAGGGCAAAAATCAGGAAAATGAGAAAATAGGCTTAGCAGGCTAATTACTCCAAAATACTAAATTAATTCTAAATAATCACTACTCAGAGGAATTTTATCTTATAATAAATTAGTTTGAAACATCATATCGTCAGAAGCTAAAAATATATCAACCTGTAAAATTCTTTTCTCCACGTCTAACATACAATTTTTATCAAGATATATACCTGATTCTTCATTCTCTCAATATCTTTTATTTCCCGAAATGTCTATCACTTTCTTTCCCTAATCCAATCCCCAAAATCTTCTATCACATTTCACCCAACCCCCAATTCTTACATCTTTCTAAGCAACCTTCAAAATTCTGTTTGTCCCTCACCTAAATTTTTCTATTCTTAAAAGTAAATTCTCCACCTGAAAAGTACCACTTAAAACTCAGTATTCCTCCAAGTTGTTCAATAGGTTTAGCAAGCATTCAATGGTGAATAAAAGTTAAGGGGTTTTGGGGTTTTGGGGTTTTGGGGTTTTGGGGTTTTGGGG